AACAGGCAATAACTCCGCAATGGCCTTTAATGGTCTTGTCCAGAGGTTTGGTATTCTGAAAGAGGGTGTTGGTAAAGGAAGTGTGGATTGGGATGCTGTCCGTCGGGCGCCACTCAAAGATGTCTTTGAAGCCATCAAGCGTGGCGGCTTAGCAGACGTCAAAAGCAAGAAGATCAAGGCTATACTAGACATGGTCTACGAAGAGAATCAGCAGCGCAGAGACATGCTGCTGAAAGGTTCTCAGGACGCACCACAGGATCTGCTTACGAAGTCCGAAGGTGGCAAGCAGTATGAAATTGCATGCGCTGACCAGAACTTCCTATCACTGAACCATCTTCACAGCCTTGCTACAGAGGACGCCATGGTGGAGTTGGTCAAATACCCCGGGATTGGTCCGAAGACTGCTGCTTGTGTCTTACTGTTTTGTTTGCAACGCCCTTGCTTTGCGGTTGATACGCACATCTTCCGTATCTGCAAATGGCTGGGCTGGGTGCCTCCGGACAAAGCCACAGAGATTACGGCGTTCAGCCATCTCGAAGTACGCATCCCTGATCATCTGAAGTATTCCCTTCATCAGCTCCTCATTCGTCATGGTAAGTCTTGCCCACGATGTCGGGCGATTACTGGGCAGTCATCTGCCGGATGGGAGGAGGGTTGTGTGATTGACCATTTGGTGAAACGTACTGGAAAGAGGAAGGGAGGAAGCACGGAATCAACGGAGGATGTCAAACCAAATGGACGGAAACGCCGTGGTTGAGCAGAGATGCTAGCCTCAGCACTATGTGTGGGATTCGTACGGAGTAGTTTGCTGTTTATGGGCGAGTTGGTGTTGTCACTGCTTGTATAAAGTAGAGCTAGAATCCTTTTAGAAGATAGTACTAAAATCCAACCCTTTCATGGCGACGATGAATTCCAGAAGTATCAGTAGCAGTAGGACAAGCACTATATATATCCGATGAAGATCTACGTCTGGCAGTTCAACCGACTTTCTGAGACACCGCTTGAGACGAATTTATAAGGTAAAATAATTAAGCCCCGAATGACTATGAAGCCCTAAGAACATATAAATGAATTGTTTTTTCTAATAGTTTTCTATCTTTATATGTGTCCATGACCTCTCATCAATTATTCACTACAAAAAGCTGGATGGAACCCGCCCCCTTGGCACGTGCACCCGCATATCGGAGCAGTGGATAATCGATCGAACCACCTCCGGACAGTCCTTAAGTCCCCTCTCCCTTTTGCCCTTTCCTGTCTTTTCACACACGCAGAAGGGTCTGGGAAGCAGAGCATTGAGTCAATCGCCCCGTGCGACTTTCACCATGGACTCACTCAACCAATTCATCCCCCCGGCTCTCCTGCCTCTGGTGGACCATCTCCAGACCCAGGGCCCGTTACTCGGCGTCACGTTGCTCTCGCTCGCAGCCGCGTACCTTGGTTATCTCTACGTTCTGGGCAGGAAGGAAGCTGCCGTTACATTCAATGTGCCTATTCCGCCAGAGATTCGGGCCAATTGGAAGGGCGAGAAGTGGGACAGCCTTCAAGGGGAGGGAAGAAAAGTGCTGGAGGGACAAGTTCGGGGGGTAAGGCTGCCTATACCCTCTCCTTTACAGAACATACCTGCCTCTAAATACCTTGACATGCTTCTGACGTCTTTCTCCTGCGCAGCAATGGAACGACAACCTGATCATGAGCTATTGTCCCGCGGACGGACGAGTACTCGGCAATGGAATCAAACCCGCAACTCCTGACGACGTCGATCGCGCAGTCCTGGCTGCGAAGAGCGCACAACTGGAATGGGCCAATACTAGCTTTGCAGAGAGGAGGAAGGTCCTGAGGACGTTGCTGAAGTGTGTACTCATCCTGCCATGTCAATTTTCACCCACCAACGCAAGCACTGACCTTGAACCCTTCATCCAACAGATACGTCCTCGACCACCAGGATGAACTCGTGACCGCTTGCTGCTTGGATTCAGGCAAAACCAAAGTCGACGCTGCATTCGGAGAGATCCTCGTCACCGCTGAGAAGCTGAAATGGACCCTCGACCACGGTGAAAAGGCCCTGGCACCGGAATCGCGCCCGACAAACTTCCTCATGATGTACAAGAAGAACATGGTCACCTACGAGCCTCTGGGCGTTGTCTCTGCCTGCGTCTCATGGAACTACCCCTTCCACAACTTCATCTCCCCTGTTATCAGTGCTATCTTCGCAGGAAACGGTGTCGTCGTGAAACCCTCCGAACAAACCGCATGGTCCTCCGCTTTCTTCCTCGAGGTCATCCGCGGCGCCCTCTCCAGCTGCGGCCACTCGCGCGACCTCGTTCAAAGCATCGTCTGCCTCCCTAACGTCGCCGACCACCTGACCTCCCACCCGGACATCTCCCAATTGACCTTTATCGGCTCCAAGCCCGTGGCCCACAAAGTCTGCGAGTCCGCCGCTAAATCTCTCACCCCGGTGACCGTCGAACTGGGCGGCAAGGACCCAGCCCTGGTTCTCGATGACTCCCGCACCGTCAGCGAAATCCCCGCCATCGCCTCGATCCTCATGCGTGGTGTCTTCCAATCCGCCGGCCAGAACTGCATCGGCGTAGAGCGCATCATCGCCTTGCCCAACGCATACGACAAGCTCGTTGAGACCGTTTCCTCCCGTATCGCCCGTCTTCGTCTCGGCTCCATTCTTCTCGACTCCCAAACCTCCGCCGGAACCCCCGACGTCGGTGCCATGATCTCCCCGGCCTCCTTCGACCGCCTGGAATCCCTCATCGCCGACGCCGTCAAGCAGGGCGCTCGTCTGATCTGCGGTGGAAAACGCTTCGAGCACCCCGAGCACCCTCTCGGCCACTACTTCACCCCGACTCTCCTGGTAGACGTGACCCCGACCATGAAGATCGCCCAGCAGGAGCTCTTCGCTCCAGTCTTCCTCGTGATGCGCGCCTCCTCCGTCCCCCACGCCATCTCCATCGCCAACTCAACGGACTACGGCCTGGGTGCCAGCGTCTTCGGCTACAACCAGACTGATATCGCGAAGTGCGTGGCGAACATCAAGTCGGGCATGGTGTCGGTCAATGACTTTGGCAGCTACTATGCGGTTCAATTGCCGTTCGGTGGTGTCAAGGGATCCGGATACGGTCGGTTTGCGGGCGAAGAGGGCTTGAGGGGTGTCAGTAATATCAAGGCTGTCTGCGTGGATCGGTTCCCTAAGCTTATGGCGACGAGGATTCCGCCCAGAGTGGATTATCCTATTCGCAAGGGTGATGGTGCGAAGCAGGACGGCACGGGTGCATGGGAGATGTGTAAGGGAGTCGTGGAGACGGGGTATCAGATTACGTTGGGCGGGAGAGTGAGTGGGATTTTGAGGCTGTTGACGAATATGTAGGTGCATACATACCCAACTTAGTAGCTGAGTGGGTGGATGATACGAGAGGAAAGGGATGTGTAGATTATTGATATGGTGATTGATGGTAATGTGTACGATAACATAACAGAACATAGGTAAATAGATTCTTATATAATGACATTATGCATGCATATATTCCTTCCGTCTCATTATATTCTAGACAGTCAAGTAGATAACATCGATATCCACAGTCAAGCTATCAAACAAAGCAAACACCATCCCAGGGCATTCCCTCTCACCTGACCACCCCTTCCCAATCCATCACCATCAAACCCTACCACTAATCCCCATCCAGCCCCCAAGGAACCAGGGGGGAAATTATAAGTCATGACGTCACAACACCACCCCCTCCCCCTGTTGAACTGTCAAACCTACAGGGGAAAAATCAAGACCAGCCATAACGTCAAGGGTCTCAGCCTTATCATAAGTGGCAATCAAGTGAACTGAATCCTTCGTCACATCAAATATGACCTAAAGAAAAAAAATTAAATTAAAGTAAATCTGAATGGGTACTTGATCCGCACCGGAAATTCCCCCTTTTGGGCGGGCACAGAGGGAAGGGAACATCAGCGACTGTCGTCGGTATGACGGCATCTCAAAGCAACAACGGCATGATGGAAGAGTTTGGTACTAGGTTCCAAGGAATTACTGTGTAGTGTAAAAGATGAAAACTGGGAATATTAATATGTAGGGTGTATGTCGATCATATTATTTTTGGCTATTAATCTTCTTTCACTTGGACAAGCCACTGGGGAAAAAAAAGTACTACTTGTGTTAAGACACATACATCATCGATCGTCCCCCTTGTACTTCTTCATTCACTTGTCGCAGCACGACATATATATATCCCCGTGTGATACTTTCAAGTTCTTCGATCAACATGCGTCCTTTCAGTGATACTTCTACTCATACTCCTGCTTCTTCGAGCTATAATTCTACGGTGCCGAAGGGATCGAAATAATTTCCATCTATCATCCATCTATCATACTACTACTGCATACAACTACTACTGCTACAACGGAATACGTTGAGTCGTCAATATGGGTGCTGTGGTTTCTTGTGTATGTCTTTCTTCTTTCTCTTCTCTTCTGCTTCAAATCCAAAGTGGTGACTGATGATTGGCTAACATTACTCCATCTATACAGATCACTAGTATCTTCCACGCCATCGGCGCTTGCCTGATGGGCATCGTCAACACAATCGGTGCTGTCTGCAAAGCCATCATCGACGGTGTCGTTACCCTCTTCGACGTGATCATCTCGTGCCTGACCTGCGGATCCTGTGGTGGAAGGAGGAGAAGAACGCGGAGGTCAAGAGTCTGACATTAATTAAAAACGAGACATGTCCAACTTTGACCTCGACCTTTTGACTTGAACGCCATGACGTTATGACGGATATGAATATGGATATCAGTTCGGAGTTTTTGTGGTTCCTTTGGATTGCTGCTGCGTTTCCTTCTCGTCTTATTTGCTGTGCCTGATATCCTGTGTCTCCATATCGAGCAATGAAATCTTTCACCAAATTATAAAATGTCGAAGTAAATTGGGCGTACCCCGTAGTTGTATACCGTGTAAGTCCTGCGGACTGAGGTCATCCTGGCAATTTATCCCGAGATGCCTGTCCCAAGTTTAGCCATCAATTGATCCTTGAGCTGAAAGTCGTCAGTTGGGATATCCTCCCATCGCTGACTCACCAGCAACCGGACGAAAGGGTCCTCCACCTCGTCCGCATACTTCAACGCCACGTAGAAGTGATTTGGCAGGACCGGCCACCGAATGGGGTACTTGTACCACGGCACACGAATCCGCATGCTCAGCAATCGCTTAAACGTTGCGAGGTCACGGTCTCGAATCGTCTGTCGGAGGATTCGCTTCGCGCGCGGGTGCTCGGGATCCTCGTCAAGATAGCCGTCCATTGAGAGCAGCTCGAGGAAGTCCAGTTTAGAGTCGGTCCAAGGAGGAAAAAGTAGCTTGTCCGGGACCTGGACTGGTAGGTTGGCTGCGAAGCATGGTAGCCGGAAGATGTCAGTCTCCTGGTAGATCTCGCTCGATGGACGGATCTGAACTGCGCCAGCATCGAACCACACTGCAACTTTGCAGTCCACATCCGACTTTGGGATTTTGGCTTTGAGTATTAGGTCGCCTTTGCCGCGATGACCATGGGGCGTTTCATCAGGCGTGGATTGTACATCCTTGTCGAATTGCTCGCCAATAGCTATGAGAATCTGGCGGTCTTCGGGTGACAAGTCTAGCTGTAGACACTTGCGGCGGATCGTATGCTCGATGTAGTCCCTCTGGCATTTGCGGATCAGAGGTAGTGTACACCAGCGACAACCGAGGATGACGTTTTGCAGGTTCTTTCTCTCATTGGGGGAGATGGCGAAAACATCAAGAGGCCAGGGAAGGAAATCAGGTGTGAAGAAATCCTGTCTTGCGCTTTCGTTGGTGCTGCTGAAGACATAGCGAATGACCCAGGTGTATAGGACCGTGTTGGAGAGAGCCCGGGCGATGTGTATGGAGGCTCGTGGGAGGTTGACCTCGAGACAGTGGAGGAAAATCTCTTGGATAATTTCCACCGGTAAGCTCTCGAGTGCTGATAATCCGGCTAAGGCCGGCTGCGAGACGTTAGGCATTGTGAACTCAATAGTAATGGCCTTTCAAGTAGCAGCTATCCGTATACTGGCGGGATTATATATTATGAAGTCCTGAGGGACGGTACTTGGAAAGGATGGCCTGAGCTCCAACAATCATCCTGGCGATAAGCTTACCATCCTGAATTTAAGTACTTGTAGACTGACAGGGCCATCGGTGTTTAATGGTCATAAAAATAAGGTCTAGACCACTGAGCCTCTCAGCTGAGTTCCTGGCGAAGCAAAAATAGGGGCGCGAATCTGTCAGAGTGGAGATCGTAATTTGATTGAACCGATAACAAATAGGTTCGCAGTAGGTAATCTTAAGCCTCTGACTTTAACGATTTGGCTTTGTGGCTCATAATCGATCCATCACGACGTGGATGTGCAATCCAGAGTCAGCCTTGAAGTGCGGGATTCCCTGTGTTGTTTGTTGTTGGCGCAGAGAGTTTAGGCTGCTCGGGATCGGCTAAGTCTCGAGTCTAATCCCAGATGCCTTGCAAACTACGACCATGACAAACAAACTGGTTGCTCAATGCGGCAATCAAGACCGAAATTGGAAGCAATGCGATCGGAGTGAACTGGGTCTTGAATTTGGGGAAAAGGCGGGGATCGTTATAAAGAAGCATCTAATTTTATCATCTTGACTGCCCTTGGTGTTGGCATGGGACTAATGTCAATAACACGTCGCACTGGGTGCCCACTATTCGCAATTTCCTTGCGAAATGCTACGATTCATTTGCCCCGAATATTGGTGCGTGCGTATTGAATATCTTCAATGGTAGTAATAGTCGACTGCTTGATATGGAGCGTAACATAGCGGTCGAGGGCCGATATACAAAAACGGTCCGGTGGTGAGAGAACCATCTAAATTCAACATTGTTTCTATACATGACCCTACAACCGACATCACACTGCCAGAGAGCAAGGGTATCCTAACTGGCCAACATGCTTGACAACAAAGGGTAACTTCGTGTGATTATACTGGTCGAAGGATGGAGAGACGTAAATAGGTACAAAAGATGTGACCGTTTAAACAACGGACATGTCGCCGAAGCGCTCCTGTAATTCAAACATCCATTAGTTTCACTCGTCGCAGACTCAGGCATCAATGCAGGTATTGTATCACGCACCTTGTAACCAGCCGGCATCCATCTGCCCTTGGAGACAAGGGAGGCGGTCTTCTCGTCGATCTCGGGCTGAGCGGCGGCAACCTCGTCCTAAACAGAAAAGAAGAAGAGACATTAATAAATCTGTACCAAAACCCTGCGTACTCCAACTCAGGAACACTATAACATACAACAGTGAGGTCCTCGAAGGGACGGGCGGTCTCAATGTTCTCGAGGGTCTTCTGGAGACTGCGGAGCTCGGACTCAACCTTGCCCTTGGTCTCCTCAGCGCCCTTGACGGCCTGAGCCTCGAAAGCGTCGATGGCCTTCAGCTGGCGGCTGACATCGTAGGTGGCGGGCTTGAAGGTCTTGAAGTGGTTCTCGATCTCGTTGACGATGGCCTGGTTCTTCAGGACCTTGCGGTAGTGCTCGAAGTCGACAGTCTGGGCCTGCTCAGACAGGATCTGAACCTTGCGGCGCGCATCGTCGTTACGCTTCTTGAAGGCCTGGAGGGAAGCAGCGGTCTGACCGCGGAGTCCGAGGGAGCTGGTCAACTTGGCCCAGTCGACCTTGAGAGCGGCGCTACGCTGTACACCAAGCAGTTAGCTGACACATTTCTCTCGCCATCCGAGACAATTTTATGACAAAAACAGGATCCCCACATACAGTGGCCATTTTGAGATGTGGAACGGAGAAGGTTGGGGGAGAGAGGGGAGTTCAACGTGCGAAGCTGGAGGTTCCGGGAGGGTGAGGGTTGAACTCGGCAAGATTTGGAATGGGGATGCCCTCACGTGACCACGGCTTTCCCGTGTTCCCGAACTGGCACTACACAAGGGGAGTTCGCAGGGGGCGGGTGTGCGTATAGATAGTCCGGAGTGCTTACATGTTTATACTTTCAATTATAGCCCGAGGATTTTTTGATATTTCTTCGAATTTGAATATAAGTCTCCGGTTACGGAATAATTTGTGTACTTTTTTTAATTTAGAAAATATTCCACCCAAATGGAAGGTGCCAAATAGTGCTTCACATCATTCAATTCTGCTTTTGGCTAAATGATTTACACTATGGGGCCTGACAGTACATGCATCCTAGGGGATATCAATCTGACCTCGCACCCAAAATCCATCCTGCCAGCAGGGCCAAGAGACGCCAGCCACCGATTCATGCGTTCATTTCCGGCGGTGTTCATATGCTGAGAGCCATGATGGAGTTGACGATATCGTTGTCGTTCTCCCGGAGAGCCTTGACGGCCTTCTTGCGGGACACATTAGCCTGGGCCATAACCAGTTCGATGTCCTTAGCCTCAAGACCAGACTCATCGACCTCCTCGCCATCATCCTCTTCCTCCTCCTTCTTGGCCTCAGCCTCGGGGGCCTTGCCCTTGCCGTGGTCGTGCTCGTGGTCGTGACCAGCGTGCTCGTTGGCAGCAGCCTCAGCAAGCTGCTGGGCAGCGGTAGCCTGAGCGGTGGCGTTCAGGTCCTCGATCTTGGCCTCACCGAAGATGCTGTCGCAACAATGTAAGCTTGATATGATTCATCAATTCGTCATAGTCTAAGGAGACACATACATCCAGGTGTTGCTGGAGGGGGAGCGGTAGACATCGGGCTGGTTGATGACGAAAAGGATCTATATGCGTATAGATTAGCCTCTGCGGTCTGAGAAAATCCTTCGTCGCCCACAATAACTCCACGAGTGCAGGTTTTGTTGAGCGTCGCACGGGAAGGAGGGACAGGGCCGTATTCATACGTTCTTGGGGCGACGGAGAGTGACACGAGTGATGCCGGGAACGTGCTTCAGGCCGAGCTTGCCAATGGCCTTGCGAGCCTTCTTCTCGTTGCGAGAGTGGATGGTGACAGCGGCACCACCGGGGATGGTGGGCTCATCGCCAGCCTCAGACTCGGAGGAGCTGCCGGCATCCTCAACGTTGGTCTTGGGAACCTCCTCGTCGGGGAGCTCTTCAACACGGGGGTCGGCCATTTTGTAATTCGAGTGAGCCTAGAAGGGCTGTAGAGTTGATGGTCAGCAAATCGCACTGTGGGACGTGACTGGTCGCTGAAGGTGGGAGGTTCGAAGATGTCCCTCTCAGACCGTGGTACACCCACAAATCTGCGGGAAATCGCCAAAATCGACCGTAAAATTGAACTTCGCGGCAAGGAATTCCATTTCAACATACCTAGACGCGGAACAAAGGGCTGTGGTGGATGAGGGGGATTTTTTTGCCTTGTTGTAGTTGGGAAGTCGCAAAGCTGTGTGAATGTCATCCTGCCGAAAATCGTTAGCGAGCTTATTGGGACCCTCACCCCGGACACACAGAAGCGATGCATCTACAGATCGTAGTACAACCACCACTTCTACTGACGCAAGTGTTCATTCTCCATTATTTAAATATAATCTAATCTGCAGCAATTCATTGCACCGTATCAATTCTACTGTTTTGATTTACTGGAACACATTTGGCTTTGTGGATTGGTTTTTGTCTAAGTTGATGACCAGGTCATGTCAAGATCATTAATACCCCGAGATACCATTTGCCATATACTAATTGCAAGGCGTTCCGTGCCGCCCTCCATCTTTCATGACGTACGAGGATAACCTATGCCAGGATATCAAAGGTTCTTGAATCATTTTTATGCTGTCAATAATGCGTACAGCCCATTTTGCTGAAAATAAATTAAACCATCAGCAAATAACCCCGTCCCAAGGCAACCCTGTCACTCTATGCACCGAGCCTCATGAACCGTCTATGACTTAGGAGCAGCCGCCCTGAGCTTAGCGTGAGCCTTCTGGACCTCGTAGCGAGCCTGTAAAATCCAACATGTCAGCACTTGTTCCTGCAAATCCATGCACATCATATCCCCGGCTCTTTCCCAGTAATCGACCAATAGTCCCGACCACTTTCATATGATTTTCCTCCATATAACCCAATATTCCGTGCATGTCACACCATCGCGATTCGTAAACGTACCTGCTTCCGGAGGCGGAGGACCTTGAAGCGCTCGAAGTCGGACAGATTCTTCCTGCGCTCAGCGCGCTCGGTCTTCTGGGCGAAGTTGGACTTGGCCCACTTGCCATCGATCTCCTCCTTCTGCCAAAGCTTCTTCACGGGGCCAGTACCGGCAGCACGGGGCAAACGGGGGATGACGAAGTGAGTGAGGGTGGCGTGGGAGAGAGGAAGGACGTGGCGGGGAACGATCTTCTGCTCCTCGGTGGAGGGACCGTCAACCAAGACCTAATCGATGCAACACTTTTGTCAATATCGCGTTTCCTCCTAATGTATAAATCCGATTCCTTCGCGCTCGTAGCAACTCCGGTATATGCGCAAAAAAACGTACACGCTTGTGGTCGACAATCTCAACAATGGCAGCGAGCTTGCCGGTGTAAGGACCGCTGCGGATCAGCACAACGCGGCCAACCTCAACCAGCTTCCATTGAGCAACCTGAACATCGATATCGGCCATGGCGAAGGCTTCCTAGAAAAATAGCAAAAAAAGGGACGTCTTAGTTGAAGTCTTGCGGGGATCACGGTAAGGGCGGACAGCAACTCACGGTCGACAGACTCCGGGAGGACGGTGTTGATAATTTGTTGTCGAAATGTCGGGTTGTCGAAGTCGTCCGAAACGCACAAGTCGCTCTGGTCTGCTGGATAGCGAATTTCGGTGCTGCGGCCCTTCGCCCACAAGAGTCTCGCTTAGCAGCCAGTAGCAGCCCACCCAGGGGCGTTTGCGTGCGGCCTAGGGCTGCCTCCCGGCCTTAGCGCGCTCCATCGGAGGTCGGATATTATCCGCTCCGATGGAGTTGCTTTTAAGCTTCAAGTTTTCAACGCGATCTACTTTGCTTGTTCCTCTTGCTATCATGCAGAACTTAAAAGGTCCAGACTCTGTCGACCTTTTCGCCATCTTGCATCAGAACATAATGTCGTTCTGTCCAGAACTACTCCGCCATCTTGTTTACTAACTCAATCTCCACCAGGGAGCTGGACTCTCCACACATTAACTGGTAAGCTCTTTCTACCTTGAAGCTTTCTATGTTTACTCTCCCCCCCCTCCTTACATGATGCGGTAATTTGCGATTGACCCAGTGTCTGTGAGCCCTCGCCGGGGTTCTTATACAGCACTGTCGCATGATATTCAATTTCTTACATATTCTGATATCCTCACTTCTACATCGTTCTTGACACCATATATACCTTCATGGAGTCTCATCGCTAACATGTTGAAGACTAAACAGGTTTGTGCATTCATGCCACTCGACTCTACTGTTGCCAACAGCTCGCTCTTTCGGTACGTTGCCATTGCACTTCCTTACTTGCACACCCCCCTCCAGTGATTAAAAAACTTTATCACGCCTAGATAGTAGTTGATGCCTTTGGCAATGAAATTTACTTCATCACCAAGATCTCTGAGGAGCATCTCATTCCACAATATTGTCACTCATTGCTTGTTTGACTGAGTTCTAACTCGTGGATTATAGGGTTTCCGATCGCGCTGCTATACAGCCATTAGCTAGAAAAATATGAAATTGAATCCTTTATCACGAGAATTATGGACATTTTTGAACTTGTAGAAAATTTATGTTGTAGAATCGTTGAGACCCTGCACCCTTCTGATCTATTCTGACCCCGTCCGACCAATGGCTTTCGTGTATGATCCGTCCTCAGGTATGACTTCATGTTCTGCGTGACCAAATGCAGGTGAACAATGTCACCATATGCATTCCTGATCTATGAAAATAGTGATTTAATTCGATTTTACTGCTCTCCACAAAACGTACATGAATATGAACTAATATCCCTATCCCTTTTCATGAGGTCCGTCTATATCATTATGTGCAACCCGGTACCGACACGACCCTACGCTGAACCAGTTGCTCCACCACGAGATGCAATCGCCATCGGCCCCTCCCGACTCAGCACCCACATGAAAACGAACTGGATGACATAGGAGTAGATGAACAGGAACTGAGTGCGACGGTTACGCTGCGAGCGAGCAACCGTATGCATAGAACCAGTGCGCATAGACGCATCACTCGTAGAGTCCGGGAGAAGAACGTATTTCAGGGAACGGAGCTATGATGCGTCATTAGTACAGTCGTCAACAAAGCATACTGCCATGAACGTACCAGAAAGAAGGCATTAGCAAGGAAGGTGTAAATGAAGACGACCCAGCCAACCCAGCCGCCGGTTCCTCGGCCTGGCGTGAGGATCTCAGATGTCAACAGAGTGACAATGATGCCGACAAACTTGTATCCCGAATATGCCACCAGATCAAGCAGCTGCGACTCGTTGTTGATGCTGAGGATGTACATAGCCAGCTTCAAGCACATTATCTCGAACAAAATGACGGCGATAGCTGTGGTTGTGATCGAACCAAGCAGCTCCGGATGGAAGTTACCGCGGAACCCGGCCAGCATCGCTGAGAGAAGGATGTAGGTGACCAGTGCCATGACGGGAATGTACATGTCTGGAGAGTTGAGATCGTCACGCGGAGGCAGGAACATGGATGAGTATTGTTGCTGGGATATCTGGCCATTGGGGCCCGTTGAAGCTGTTGTAAGGCGTGCCTGTTGACGGGACCAAGGCTTGTGCCGCCAAGGGAAGAGAACGAGGGACAATTTGTTCAGGACATAAGAGTTGGAGACGTTGAAGTAGTGCTTGAGAGCTGGTATAGAGACATAGCGATTGAACTTGGCGCGTAGTTAGCAATGCTTCATCTATAGGCACCATTGAAGCTGCTGCTTACGTTCTGCTCCATATATTCCTGTCCAGCTGCCATGGCGGTCTTTCCGACCTGGAATCCCATCTGCGCGGTGGGATCATTGATGAATCCCCCAAAGCCAGGAGCATACGTTCCGCTGCCCCCCTGCGCAGGGGCGGGCTGATATGGGTTGCCATAGCCAGAGGTCTGAGGCTGCTGTGATGCCGGAGGCGGCGGCGAGCGCATCATGGGGACGGTCGAGACATGCTGAGGCACAGGATGGTGAAGGGGAGGGGACTGCGCCGGGGGTGGAGCGAACGACTGGCGGTACATGGTTCTTGGGTTGTAATGAAACTAGTTAAGAGGAGTTCAATAGTTAAAGATTGTCTTGCAAAGCTCGAGGGGTTGCCGAGACGGCAAATCGGGGGTGACTGGAGCGCAGAATGGGAGGAAGGTTGAGGTGTGTTTCTACGTGGCTGAAGTCCTTCCCTTCGGATCACCGACAGATCAGCTTGCCGCCCGCAAATTCCCCACTGCGCGGATCTCGCCGTCCACTCCAACATTATTGTTCACTCGCCTCCGTACCCCAGTTTCACCAATACAGCATATCCACTTATCAGCAGCATGTTGGAAGCATTCGAGATCTTGACTGCCTCAGGGGTAGTCCTGTGGTCGAAGTCGTACGCGCCCGTCGGGGCGCATATTGTTAACAGCCTTATCAGTGATGTCTTCATTGAGGAAAAGGTCCAGCTTCAGGCAACGAGCAATGCGGCCCCATCTTTTAAGAAGGAGAAGTACACTTTAAAGTGGAAAAGGGTGAAGGAATTTGACTTGATCTTCGTGGTATGTTGCTGTCTCCGACCTCGTCTCAGGTCTTCTGTCTCTGACCGCAACTCGCTCTAGGCCGTCTATCAGTCTCTCTTACAGCTTGGTTGGATCGATAAACTCCTGGACAATATCTCCACCCTGTATATCGATTTGTACAAGGACCAACTACGAAGTACCCGCGCAAGGATAGCACAATACCCCTTTGACAAATACTTTGACCAGCAAGTTCGGGAGCTTGAGGATAAGTCGGGGCCTATCTCTTCGGAGGCATTCGTGGCTCATGCGGTTGATAAGAAAGACCCGCTGGTTTCGTCTGACAATGGCGGCCCCCCTCCGCCACCAGTGCCTGGTCTTCTCAAAGGTATGTCTCCGAACGGGCTTCATAGATTGTAATGATGCTAACATTCCTAAAGCGCAGCATCAAGCTGCGCTAGCCGGGGCGACCTCTGATGAGAGTACGCCACCACACACCCCGGATACATCGCGGTCATCCACCCCTGTTGCGAACCACATCATAACTGCCAAGGGAGGACCAGCTGGCCGAGTTTCGCGTCGTGCACGCAAGGCCGCTAATGCCAGCGCCAATGCTTCCTCAGGCGACGAAACCCGCAAAGGAAAAACACCCAAGAGCGGCAAGAAGATGCGCAAGTGGGATGCCGATGGGTTTGCCGATGAAGATGATGGTCAGGTCCTCGACTACTCAGCCCATGCTGACGGTGAAGAAGCGGCTGCTCCGGCTGTGGAAGGCGTGTCGCAAGATTCTTGGGGACACAGAACTGGCAAGGGCCAGTTCGTACTGAAAGATCTGGGAGATGAAGTTCACTCTATTTTGGAAAATGCAGGCAGCGACAAAGCGAAGGATGCGTCCTCTGCTGGCTTCGTCGGTTCAGGATTTAATGCAATTGGAGGCCTTCTGCGCAACATCGTGGGCGGAAAGACCCTTACCGAAGCGGATTTGGAGAAGCCCTTGAAGACCATGGAAGATCATTTGCTGAAGAAGAACGTCGCACGCGAGGCTGCGGTCCGGTTGTGCGAGGGTGTCAAGCGGGAGCTCGTGGGGAAGAAAACAGGCAACTTCCAAAGTGTGGATGCTGCTTTGCGCTCGGCCATGGAGTCATCTCTTCGGAAAATACTGACGCCTACTTCCTCTCTCGATCTGCTTCGCGAAATTGATGCAGTTACGTCTCCCACTAGCAAGCAGCAGGCTCCTCGTCCTTATGTTATTTCGATCGTTGGTGTCAACGGCGTTGGAAAGTCAACGAATTTGGGAAAGATTTGCTATTTTCTGCTGCAGAACAAATACCGTGTTCTCATCGCCGCATGCGATACCTTCCGATCTGGAGCTGTGGAACAGCTACGTGTTCATGCACGGAACCTCAAGGAACTCAGTGCCCGCGAGAACGCTGGCGAGGTTGAGCTGTACGAGAAGGGCTACGGAAAGGATGCAGCGAACGTGGCGAAAGATGCTGTCGAATACGGAGCTGCCAACCAGTTCGATGTCGTTCTTATCGATACTGCCGGCCGCCGGCACAACGACCAGCGCCTCATGTCCTCGCTCGAGAAGTTTGCTAAATTCGCTAACCCAGACAAGATCTTCATGGTCGGCGAAGCCCTGGTTGGCACGGACAGTGTGATGCAGGCTCGCAATTTCAACCAGGCCTTCGGTACTGGGCGAAACCTTGACGGCTTCATCATCAGCAAATGTGATACAGTTGGTGACATGGTGGGCACCCTGGTCAGCATGGTGCATGCTACGGGTATTCCCATCGTCTTCTTGGGAGTTGGTCAGCATTACGGTGATCTGAGAGGACTCAGTGTCCCTTGGGCTGTCAATCTGTTGATGAAGTGATTGGCGCGCAGGTTACATTAATGCAGTTACCGGCGAGTAATGAATAAGACTATGATGAAGAACCATGAAATTCCTACGTAGGCTAGTTCACTCTGTTCATGATCTTAATCGGGTGACAGTGCAACGTCGCTTCTAAGACCGCGCTTTATGATAAGCCATGGTAATGGTTCCGGCAGGAGGCTACACGAGCTGACCGTGCATATCTGCAACGGAATGATGGATGAAGACGTAGTAGATGTAAAATCAAAAGAGAAAAAAAAAAAAAAAATAAATAAATAAAAGAAAGAAAAACAACATAGAAATGAAGACAAAGATGCTTCTTAGGACTGAAAAATAAATTACTAAAAAGAATGACCTACGCAGGATTCGAACCTGCAATCTCTTGATCCGTAGTCAAGCGCCTTACCATTGGGCCAGCAGGCCAGCTGATATATTTGGAGGTATATAAAATGCTCTAAGTTAGAGTTTCACAAATGTAACTGCTTCAATTTATAGATTCCAGTTCACTGAAGAATCGCAGAGAAACCCTTGGTTTGTAGAGACACTTATCTCACACCTCTTGGTATTTCTCCTAGAAAGCCCTTAAAACAGGCGGGTTTTGCAATCCGTAGCCGGTTACCTCCTGGGGAATGCCACCGGCGCAGAGGTCGCAGCACTTCGCCGCTTGCAAATGAGTCAGTCCATACCGAGGACACGTAAAGCCCTGAGACATTGGGAGTAATTTCCCGTGTCGTAACCGTCATATACATCATACAACTGCTGTTGAGAACAGTTCACTATCAGACCTGTCATATCAATCCAGTCGACAGCCACCGGATGACTCAGCCGTGGTTCTTCCAGTCCAGCCAGAACGCTTACATCATCTGCATGGGTTTGCCGGGGCTCCTCCGCACTTGACTATCCAGGCACCTCTTCCTTGTTTTGACATTCTCTCGACTTTAGACAGCTTCTGCTTTGCTTAGGATCTTCATCTCCAGTCTCGAATAATACGTGCGCGTCATTGACTTCACTTGCGACTATAGTTCGCTGCTGTTGCCCCGGATCCACCCCCGAGTCTTCTTTTCTGGGGGCTCCAACGCCCCCCGCATCGCGAACGAGGTAGTGGCAATTGAAGCCCTTCGTCATTGCTCCGATTGTTGGTGAGGCTCAGCCACCGCCTCTATCGCGCTGTTCTCTGGGGAATACCTGATAATCGCTATACGAACTCGCGTACTACCACTGTTCTGCCGAGATGAGGACAGAAGAGCACAATCCGCTGAATCGGCGACATTCCTCTACGCTACACTATCAGACCTTCGACACCCCGCCGCCGAAATCTCGCGGAAGACCGAACTCCGGCCAATCTGGATCATCAGGCGACGACTCGCATCACCAACCAAGCGATTCTCAAAATGGATCGGGACATGGATCTCCCCTGCCCAAGAAACAGATGGCGGTTCTGGCGATGATATCCCTCTGCGAACAGACGGCCTTTAACTCCGTCAGTCCTTACCTACCCGATATGGCGTCCTCCTTTCCCGAAGTCGAACCGGATATGGTCGGTGTATACGTCGGAGCAATTGCTACTGCGTTCGCAGTAGCACAGCTGATCACAAATTACTTCTGGGGCTGGCTATCTGATAGGATAGGACGGAAACCGGTTATTCTGCTGGGTACAATCCTCACGGCGGCTTGCTTCTGCGCTTTTGGATTTTGCAGAACGCTTTACCAGGCGATCGTTGTTCAGGCGATGATGGGCGCCATCAATGGCAACCAAGGTCTGGTGTCCACATGCTTGGGCGAGATCACTGATCGGAGCAATCAGTCGAAGGCCTTCACCTATCTGCCCGTTCTTTATGGTATTGGTGGCATAACTGGACCTCTGTTAGGAGGCCTATTGGTCTTCGAGCGGAACCCCTTTGACAAAAGCCAACCCAACCCCTTCCCGTACCTCATGCCGAATCTGCTCGCCGGTGGAGTCTTAGTTGTGGACTTTGTCCTGTCGATATTTTTCCTCGAAGAGAGCTTGGAGGACGCAGAGACCTTACCCGATTTCAAGCAGAGAGTCCGTGCTTTATTCGCGTGGTTGTGGGAGTGGACCAGCTCTGCAAAGAGCGCGAGTCGGGTAAAACCACCACATGCTGGCAATTATCGCCACCTTCGTACGAGCTCGTACGAAAGTCAGGATCATGATAGCGAACTAGACTCGGCGTCTGAGGTATCGGAAACTCACCAGACCCACCATGAGTCGTTGACACGAAGTGAGATTTTCAATCGGGATACTGTGCTGCTCCTTTTGACCTATCTCATTTTCGCTCTTTGCAACGTTGCTTTCAACTCGTTGTTTCCTATTTTCTCGCAAGCCCGTCCCCCACTTGGGCGTGGCTTGACCCCTTCGGAGATCGGTCTTGCTCAAGGGTTCTCTGGCTTTGTTACGATCATTTTTCAAATTTGCATTTTCGGCAAATTGAGAGATAAAATGGGAAATCGCTGGTCTTACCGAGCGGGCTTGTTTGGCTTCGTCATTTCGTTCCTGCTCATGCCTTTCGTCGGATACAAGAGCAATGGGGCCAATGGAATAAGCGGGAAGACCGCGCTTCTGGCGATCGAGTTGTGCTTTGCGTTGCTCGTCAAAACAGTCGCCTCAGTTGGCGGACTGACAAGTGCACTTCTACTGGTAAGTAGCTGGCTATTTGTGTCATGACACAAAAAGAAAGAATGTCAGGCTAACTCTGCCCAACCTAGGTTACCAACTCCGCCCCGGATAATGCCGTCTTAGGATCCCTCAACGGACTGGCTCAGACCCTTTCAGCCGCAGGCCGTGCAGTGGGCCCATTCCTATCCGGCAGCCTATTCTCTCTTGCATCCAGACTCAAGCACAAAGGAGAAGCCATGCCATTCGGCGTTTTCGCCGCCGTCTCCTTTGTCGGGTTTATCCTGAGTTTCGGCATCCGAGGCCGCTCCCTCGAAGCGGAAGACTGGGAAAGCGACAGCGACGACACGTACAAGTCAGACGATGACGAAGCCGACGCGTGAGAGGGGCACAGCGTGCACCCTTATTATTCCTACCAATCAATCAATTACCGTTCCTTAAAACCGAGCTAAAACAAGAATAATCTTTACGACCTCACGATTTATCACTTACATTTCCGTTCCATAGACAAGAGCACGCCTTTCGCTGATTACCTTCCTGGCCTCGAGGACCTTACTATTTGAGCACAACATTTCCATGGTGCATTTTCATTCATCCATTCTTTCTTTTCCCCAATGCATACAAACATGCATGGTGTTTGGCGTCGTTATATGCGCGCATTGTATATGCTGGTCTGGAAGACGAGACTTCTTTTGATTTGGACTACGGATAGATATTGATAGCCTTGGGTGTTTCTTTTTCGTTGACCTCTACTACTACTACTACTACTAGATAGACCGGTCGTGTCGTGTTCCAGTCACGCTTTTTTACTTTCTTTCTTTCGCCTCTGATTGGCAACTGTATCAATAGGATTTAGATTATGCGTTTTAGCTTATGATTTACCCTTGCCTTTCTTGTTAGAATTTGAAACTCGATCACTGCTTAATTTTCCATTGCAATTTACCCATTTGAACATACTTAGTGCTCAACTTTTTCCAAATGCTCAATGTACATAACATACAACAAACAACATTGAAAGCCAGTAAAAACCACATAAGAGATACACGTACAGAGTGTACAGATATCTGACATCAAGAAGAAGACTAAAATTCAAATGAAGCTTCGACTGACGCCGAACGAGGACGATCCAGATAGCCGAGGAAAGGTGGTAGTATAGACTTATAGGATAGAAGTAAGGAGAATGAGAAATGAAAAATGAAAAATGTCAAAACAATGTGATCTCAGCATTATATGTAAAATCTCGGACATGATAAATCACAGACACTGCACTCATGGAGAATCACACATAGTAACCAACAACACATGAAAAACACGGTAAGAAACTTCATATGTAGTAGCAGTAGTAGCAAACACAGAAATGAAACACACAAGAAACAGAACGAAGGGAATCCCGAGAGGTTAGTTCAATTACCGATATCATATATCTCAATGCGATGACATTTCGACTCTATTCTTTCCACACCCATTCAAAAACATACATGAACGGCTCATACGGATAATCATTTAGGACAAGTCCCTGAGCGTATTCGACCAGGTCTTCGTTGGGGATATCAAGGGCTCGGAAGCGTTCCTTTTCGCCGCCGCCGCCACGGACTCGTACGCGCTTATCGACCAAGGCGCGGAGCATTTTCTTCCCCGGGGCGACGAGAAGGTATCTTGCTTCTTCTGTTGGGTCAGAGCCGGGGGATGCGGGGGCGTAGAAAATGGATTCCTGACGCTCTGGGGTGGTCCATTGGACTTTGCTGGGTGGGAAGAGGTGTGGAGGGTTGTTGATCATGGTGTAGCGGATGTCGGATTCGCGGGCGAAGACGATGGCTGTGTTAACGTCTGGGTTGAGTTTCATCCGGAAGGTGGTGAATTTGCGATGATCGAGGTGGTAAGCGGTACTGGCTGTTATATTGACAGGTCGGGTGGTGTCGAGTTGGCGAATTCTGGTGATCGCAAGGTCGCGTGCTGGGACGGGGCATTTGTGCTTCATTCGGATGGACTTGGATTCGAGACGGGTGATGGATGGGATGCATTGGGGAGCATGGGAGGCTGAGGCAGCCTTGTGGCATGTATCACTGCAGAAACGGAAAATCTTGCATGCTGATTGTTGCATATTAGGTTATCATTGCGCGTGGGAAAGGCAAGGGAAGGAAAACCTACTGTTGCACAAGGTGGTGGTAGGGGTGCCGCACTTCTCACACGGCCCGGGCTCATGCAATGCCCAATCTTGCTTCTCAGCTGCGAGCATATTTCTTCGTCCATTGAGGGCCAAAATCCTCTCCTCGGCAAACCCTATCTTCGTCTGCAGGTAGCGGTCTTCCGGGGTTCGTCGCGCCATATGGACTAGCTGTTTGTAGGCAAGTATGGCCTTGTCGATAGAGTCGAGGTGTTCGTGGGAGACACAGAGGGCGCTGAGAGCATCATACGTTTCGATTGCTTCTGGTCCCTTGATGGCCAAGAAGTCTTCGACCAACGATTCGAAAATATTCGCGGCATCCCGATTGAGGCCAGCGTTGATATACGATCGTCCTAAATGTTGGATGACCCGCAGGGCGTCTGGTTCCCGAGAGTGTTGATATTGATCAAGAATATCATTTATTTCACTTGGAAAGTCAAAATTCTCAGAGCATTCAAGATACCGAACGACCGCTTCTCGTGTGATAGGACTGGTAATGCCGAAGACTGCCTTGTAATGTGGGATCGTTCGGCCGCAGATCATTTGCGCCTCCTTATTCAGGTCAAGTTTGTGGTACAGGAGAGATAGTTGGTTCTTTGCAGTCAATGTTCTTTCATTATGCAGCCCAAAAACCGTATCGAGTGCCGGGGCTGCTTTCTCCAGAAGGAGGAGGGCCGATTCCTTATCACCTAAAGCGACCTTCAGCGTGGCAAGGTCCTGCATGCTCTTCAGAGTCTCTGGGTCGTTGTGCCCCAATGTCTTCAAGCGACCTGCAAACGAGCGCTCGTATAAAGCTGCTGCTTGTGTAGCATATCCATCCTTTGAATCGAGCGCTCCTAGGTCATGCAGAATGGCGAAGTTATCGGGATGGTCGCGCCCAAACGTCCGCTTGAATAATCCAAGAGCCGTCAAATAACAGACAGTCGCCTCTTGTGTCCTTTCCAAATGGCGATATACCCGTCCCAAGGAATGGAGAAGTACAGCTCGACAATGCTTGTCAATATCTAATGCTGGACACTCATCAAGCAATCTCAGCGCATTGTGAAATTTGCTCATTGCAGTTTCCAGATTCCCCTGATTCAGAGCATTCTGGGCTCGCATCTGTTCGTGGAGGATACGAGACCAAACGCTTGCAGCCGAGAGCTCGTCTTTAATCTGTAGAAAAAGTTGGGCAATCTCATCAATCTTCAAAATTCTTTGACGCCCAGATGCATCGTGAACTATAGCACCGCCCGAGATATGCTGGGTGTGGATGAATATATTCTGCGTTTCCCGTAGCAAGGCCATGTATTCGGTTTCCGCGACAGATTCCTGCGTAGGCTCAGTGACCTGCGTCCGGCCATCCGTCGAAACCACGTCACTCTTCCGGGTCGTTGCTGCTCTTCTTTCGCTTCGCGTGTACTTGGTGACGAACGAGAACCGTATGGTGTTCGCTCTTTTGATCAACTTCTTACCGCGATCTGAGGTAGATCGTGCACGCGAGACACCTACAGTAGTGAGTGCTAATTCGGTAGACTGGCTTCAGCATACTGACCTTTGGGGACCTTGCGACCGAAGAGTCTCTGCAAGAATGATTGCCTCCATGAGGCTCTTTGTTGCGCTTGCGGGCGTTCTTTCTCAGCCTGGCCATTCCGGAGCTCGTTCTTAGGGCCCGGACGACCGCTTTCCTCTTCACAGAGCGTCCGTTTAGACTCCACTATGGAGCCATTATAATTAACTCCTATAGACAGAATGTTAGCTGAGCTTCTGGCTGTCTAGTCGGCTTAATATATACCATTCGTAGCGTAGCTCATTGTTGACAGAGCTGTTCCCGGCTCATTGTTGCCTTCAATTTGCTGATAGATGCCGTGGGGGGCGTGTACTGCCAATCCAATTAGCAACTAGAGATATTCAGAGAACCTGGCGGCATACCTCGTTCCAGGTCATATAGCCCCGAAAATCCGATAGCGACCAGCTCATCCTCCTCTCCTTGTGAGAACTCTTAGCTGTATTAGTACGGAAAGTATTCAATGACTGATTGGGAAATAGCATACTTCTGAGCGACCATGAATCACGTATCTTTCGGGCTTTTTTGGAAAAGGACTGGTCTCCAGCGCCGTTCGTTGATGGGACTTTGGAACCCATGGAGCCTTTTTGCGTAAAGCTAGAACTTCGACTGTGATTAGCACTGGCCATGTCTCTCGCTGTGCCCCTAACAACGATGTCGTCCCGCGGATCGTTCAAGATCGGCTGGTATCTGCAGTCCCCACGTCAGAAAAAGTGTCCACTGCACACCTAGAAGCTCAAGCACGAGGAAATACTGACGAGACATTGCATGGTTCACCACAATGCTTGCAGTCAACAAAAAATGGCGTATCTGAGACTCGGTTAGACCCCGCTAGTGATACAGACAGCGGCGGATCATACTTCGTTGCCGATCAAGCCCTTCCTCCTCACCATCGCCAAATGTGAATGGCCTTTCACAGTTGCCACAGAAAAAGCAAATTGGCCGGGAGTTGAGCGGGATGAAACGTTTCTCAACACGGTAACCTTTCGTGATTAGACTATAACTCCAGTCAGCAATTCTGTCTAAACAAACTGGACAAGGATCAGATACCGGTCCCGCGTCATCACATATACGGCAATTGCAGTGCCAGGACAGTATTTCGTTAGATAGTGATGTTTCAACTCGCTTCTGCATGACATGTCAAAGTCTGTACCGATCAAGGGGAATATCAGGTTCGGCCGTACAGCGAAGAAAAAACCGCATTGCAGTCGGGACAATTAATATCCACTGCACCGAATATAGTCCCATCATCGTCTCTGAACGGAGGAAAACAACGCAAAGCCTCCTTCGTATCTGCAACACCGGGATAAGCATCATCCGTCTCTGCCAAACAGATTAATCCCAATTTTAGCCGATGCAAATACAACCACAGGCTGCACCCATATGTAGGTAGCCGGGGGGCAGCATACCGCTCGTAGACCTGCCGACTAAAGACAGCAGCACGTCTGAGGCTCTTAGAACACGGCCTTTGGCCTCGAACCTATTGGGAGCACCCTGTAACGAATTCCTCAGGATGATATCTGTATCGAATTGTCGCTTTGCCTCCGTCTGCAGCCCTCGAATGTCGCCGAAATCTCTGACCAATCGATATCGTGGGTTAGTTGTTGATTGATCTGATCACCCATACAGGCTGCAGCCATGACAGCTCAGGAATGCGTGAACTTACCTCTGAA